TCTGTCGTAACACGCTTTACTACGACATGTTCGATGGCATTGAGAGCACATCATTCGATCGATACCGTCCATACATGTATGGCTACCACAAACGTCACATGTTGCAATACATGAATGTTTTCCTTTGTTCTTATAAGGTTTCAAACAGCTAGTGCAAAAATACCCATATCCGAAAAACCCGTTTATGCTACCTATCCCATCGAAATGACCTTTTCCTCCCTTCGAATCGTCTGTAAGGTACAGGTAAATGTTTTCACGTTTTACGTCATTACCTACACGACAAAACTTGTTGCCTAATTTTGCGGACAACACCATAATATTGACGTCCAATAAGTCTTCAAACTTATCTATATCTCTTATACTTAGAGGTTCATCTGTAGGTAAATTGACTTCTTTACACATGGTTAATGCCATCGTTTTACCATAAGATTTTTTATTCGCAGAAGAATCGTTTACGTGTTTACGATAACTATTTGTGGTCATACGATGTTTCATGACCTTTTGAAATGTGTTCATATTTTCATCATCGAGTCTGGTTACCTCTTGCCATTTATTGAGGGGTACAATTTTACAGAGCTTTAAAAAACATCTACCTATGGCTATTGACAGACACATATGGTCGTCATTGGATACCTGTAACATAGACCTTTTTAGAGCAATGGAATTGTTTGACCCCTGGAGTCGAGTGATTGGCAAAGTGCCGCTACCAGTTGGTACGGCTATGTTTCCTATCGTTACATGCATTGCTGTATCTAAGGGTAAATTTTCGTCTGAACTTAGAACGTTTTCCACTGCTTCCATGACCCTCTGCGAGTTGATGTTGGACCACTTATCTAATGGTACGACAATCGAGTTGTTTAGTTGTGGATGAGTAATGATAACTCTTCCAAGGTCATTGTCGTCTCCTCTTGCTCTGTTCAAAACGTCATCAAACATACCACGAAGTTCCTTTTGAAGATCTCGTAATTTTTCATCCTTCCATGTATCTCCGAATTTAACTTTGAAAGTCGTCTCTTTCGCCAAATTTTTAGAGAACGTTTTCTGTCCTGACATCCGAAATAGATAAGATAATTCTTCAGTCTCCTTACCACCACCTTTTTGCTCTAGGTTATCCATGGTCAAGACGATATCTCGTCTGATACCGTTTTCATGAGACGTTTGTGAATCTTGAATATTGTTTTCTATGTAGGTGTTGTCAGTGATGCATTGTGGGTTTGAGAAACTTCTTGATGTTGTATCTATGTTGATAACGTTTGAAATATCTGTTGATTCATTTGATGTGTAAATGGATTCCTCTTCAGGTAACGAGAGACTTATGGTTAGTTTGTTTCGATTGATGTTTTCTCTGTTGTGATTATCAGTTTTGTTACAGTGAGCTATGTATTGTGAACTCGAGTGACTTGTGGAAGGTGTATCTATATCAATCACATTAGGAATATCTATGTATTCATTCCCAATGGTGTCTGTTTGGGGTAAATTGAGACCCATAGTTAGTTCATCTAGATTAACAATTGTGTCAATAACCCCTGTGATTTCATGGAATTCCAAATGTTCCTTTAATTGAGATGATAATTGAAATCTCATATTACACTTTGGACATGTCAATAAAACTGAAAGTCTATCTAAAACTTGTGTGTTACTCAAAATGAACTTATTAAACTATCAGCATCTGTAAAACCATTTAAAACATCTGACAATCCCAATGACTGAAAATATCTTATCCTTTGTTGCACTATGGGATGAGCCATTAAATGATTTTCTAATAACCATTGTTGTAACTCATCCAAAGTTGTAAAGTTGTTGATGATATCACTCAACCTTGGAGGTTTACCCTTCATTATATATATTTTTTTTATAAGAGTTGTTTTATCATTTACTGAAAAAAAAAAAAAAGTTTTTAATAAAATAAAGTTTGCTTCTAATATATCTATGAAATCTTGTTTTGCCTTTTTCTTTATTTGTTAAATATATGTATTATTTATATATAAAATATACTTACAGTTTAGAAAGCTGACATCCTTTGATCATGATTGACAAAATGAAACCCTTTAAATCTCCTTTACTTGTATTTTTGAAAGCTACCATACTATATCCTTTAACACTGATTGACAAATTGTAACTCATATGTTTCCATTTATATAGTTATTTTACTTACATTTTAGAAAGTTGTCACACTACATCCTTTGACCATAATTGACAAATTGTAACACATATATTGCCCTTTATATAGTCTTTTTTTGTTGTTGTTGTATAGGAATAAAATAAATGTTTATGGTCTAATAATTTAAGGATAGGGTCAAGTTTTTGTGTCGGTCATGTAAATAAATAGATCTCTAAGATCCTATAATTTAGAATACATTTTAATATGTAATACTGATAAAACCTTTTAGGGTAGAATATTTATTCTTTTACAAATTAAAAACATTTGAGGTTAATGGTCAGTCATGTCACATGTAGGGGGTGTTCAGGATGAACAATGTCAAGAGGTCAAATTCAATCTCATGTGGTTTTTCAATTGATCAATAAAATAACACATATAATTGTTATTTTTATTAAATCTCAAAACATGTGGGTTATAAGGTCATATCACATCATGAGTGATGTGTTTACGGATCAACGATGTAAGGAGGTCATATGTAACTTTATAGGGTTTTTCAATTGGACATTGAAATAACAAGTGTAATAAAAATTTTTTAATCATAACAAAAATCAAAATATACATCCAACATATAAAAAAACATATCAAACTTGAAAAAAATATACATTTTTTGGTCTTGGTATAAAAAAAAAAGGAATGGTTCTTAAATGTTTAACAAAATATCATTTAGTGTTAGAAAAAAATAAACAAATAGTTCAACTCCTTTTTTTTTTTCTCTCACTCTCTCTCTGTCTCTGCTTATAAAGACAATAATTACAAAATTGTAATATTCATAATACCTTGTTCTAAAAAATATATAAAAAAGAGTATTTGTTAAATGTCTTGCACATGTTTATCTTTCATAAAAAACAACTGAATAAAAATGAGTATTTTCTTATAAAAAACAACAACAGAAATATTAAAACATGTACCATAATTTAAGTTATGTTATACTTGTTGATAAACTTAACATTAAAATATATTTAATGTTTACATGTTGTTGTTTTCAAATTATATGAAAGTATATATATATATATATATATATGTAAAAAGCACCAAATACATAAAGAATAACAATGACTAGGAAGACAACTCATTGGCACAAATACTTATTCTCTGTTTTAACTATTTACATAATGTTTAAGTTTATGGAAAACAATACAAACATGTTATCTTAAAACTGAACTACATCTAAAACACCTGTAACAGTATTAAGAAGAAAAAATGATAAGTTTATATTTCTGTAGAGAGACAGTTTGTCCTTAATATAATAAAATATTTTAGAATGAGGTAGTTTAACATTGGTATCATTTGAAATTGACAACATTTTTTTAAAGATATGTATGCTGGTATAAACATGAATAATAATATTTCAAACAATTATAAAATATGATAAGATATAACCTTACATTACATCAAAACATAATTATAGTATCTATAACAAACTACTCTAAAAACACTAAAACTATTTAGAAAAATAAAAAGTCCTTCTCATAACTGAAATGGTTAAGTTTATGTTTGCTATTCTATAATGAGGTTATTTTACATTAATATCTAAATTTACTTTTACAATCTGATAGTTTACCATTAAGGAAACAAAAACAATTGAATGAAATAGATCAATATAAAAAATAACAAAAACACTTTATTCCATTAAATTCAAACTGGTTATTTAACTTTAACAATATCACAAATTCAGTAATAAAAAATGACCTGACAAAATCTTTGTTTTACAACAACTATAAACATAACATTTCTTAAAAAACATCAATTATATCTAAACTAATAAAAAACTATTTCTAATTCTAAAACTACTAAAATTATTTAAAGTCTATGTTTGTATTTCTGTATGGTACTAGTATGTGTTACCCTTTCTTAAAAAACTCAATTATAACTAAACTAATAAAAAAACTAATTCTAATTCTAAAACTACTAAAATTATTTAAAGTCTATGTTTGGATTTCTGTATGGTACTAGTATGTGTTACCTATTGTTATAAAAATCTGAAAATTTATCCATGGTTTTGTAAATTACATTAAAAAACAAAGTAATTTTGTTTTAGTAAAACTATGTAGAAATGGTAATAAAACATGATTTTATTCTGTTAAACCCTTTAAGATGGCCAATTCATTGATGTTACTACAAAAGTGAAGTATTTTAAGTTTTACAATATTTCAAATAAAATACACCATTTTTATGAAGAAAAAAAATTATAACAATATGATCATAGATATAACAATTTCTTATTTACAGTTCATATTAACTAAAACAAAAGAACGAAAGCAATGGTCATGGCAAATTATATGTAATTTTACATTTGGATTTTATATTATAGCACTATGAATAAAATGTTTTAATTACTTTATAAAAGGTGTTTTGTCAGTACTTTCATAATAGTGTTAATATAAAAATTGAAAATTAATTCTTATATAATAAAGTTCAACAAACTTAAATAAAAAAAGGAAAAAAAATTTGGTTGGGCAAATGATATATAAATTTATGTTTGGATTTCTATGTTATAGCACTATGAATAAAACTTTATAAACTGTATTTTGTCAGAACTTTCACAAACAGTGCTAATAAAAAAATATTGGAAAATAATTCTTATATGTAAAAACAACAGTTTAATACAAAAACCATAAGTCTTGTTTTCTTTTAAAACATTATTCATAAATATACATACCCCTTACATTTCTTAAACTTAAATAAAATAAAATTTTAAACTTTTTAAAACTACAAAAATTATTTTACCAAGTCTGTTTATGGTTTTCTGTATGATAGTTTAATACTTTAAGATTAATATTATAAATTGATATAAAAATTTTAAATTTAAAATGAAACAATACAGAATAGTGTAGTATAAGGAGTATGTAAACAAAGATTAGTGTAAATCATGTTATTTTCAGAGACTGCTATCAGACAACATTGCTTTTCTTTTAATCATGTTACGTGTTCTGGCTGCAATCGGTGAGGTAGGTGTTGATTCTGACGATAATGATTCTAGATCTTCCAAGGGTGGTGCTGAAGGTTCTGGTGAAGGGTCTCGGAAAAACATAATAGGTACTAATGGTATTGATGAGGTAGTGCTGCCTGGTGAAGGTTCTCGGTATGATACAATTGAGTGGAATGATGGTGATGATCTAGATGAAGGTTTTAATGGAGTTGATGTTGATGGTGGTGTTAAAATTTGTTGTGGAATAACTGGCCTGGATGGAGTTGTGTTTAAATAAGATGGTGCATAGGTGGTTTCTGTATTATCACTTCTGTTCAAGGGTAGATATTGTGGTTGTTGTTTTCTTAGATGTAGGTATAATTTTAAAAATGCCAAAGATGTAAACAGTGTAAACACACCAGCCCAAATCCATAATCCTATAAAACATAAATTTAAAAATACCTTATAATTTGACAGTTGTTGTTTTATATATATTATTCATTCCAAAAAACACTTCATTCCTTTTCATTTTTTTATATTTCTGTTTTTTTATTATATATATTTTATAACTTATTAACATTATGATTATCAATATTGTAACAGCAAAAATAATTATACTTATATATATAATCTTATGATTCTTTTCCATATCATATTCAAAAGCTGTTGTACTAATCATGTATATTGTACCTGTAAATCCTGATGTTCCTGTATAGAAGGTCTTGTTGGGTGCTACATAAATAAAAAAAGAAAAACTATATAATTTGATTTACATTTTATAACAATCAAAGCTGAAAAAGAAATTTAAAACAACACATTTATATGACATGAAAAAATAAAATTAAAAAAAAATCACTTTTATGTACACAGATATGATAACAATAGGACACTATATGGCAGTGTTGGTACTGATTTAGTAGCTAACCTGTCTACTTTCTTTTTGGGATGTCTGTACCTTAGGAAAGAATTGGAACAAATTCCAATCTTTCCAAAAATAGAATTATAAATTCTTTCCACTGTTCCTAACAACCACATTTATAATTTTTGTTTTTAGACACAGTTTACTTTAAAGACATAAATGTATGTATATTCAATGGTGTTAATATGTCCTTTGATTGAGTTAAGCTATTTCAGTTGATATTTTATAGTGTGTCTTTCTATGTTGTGATGTTACACTATTGTTTCAGAAAAAAGGGTGAAGGTTTGGTACCATTAAAACCTTTAAACCCGCTGCATTTGTTTGCACCTGTTCTAAGTCAGGAATCTGATGTTCAGTAGTTGTCATTTGTTGATGTGTTTCGTAAGAGTTTCTCGTTTTTTTATATAGATTAGACTGTTGGTTTTCCCATTTGAAGGGTTTTACACTAGTAATTTTTGGGGCCCCTTATAGCTTACTGTTCAGTGTGAGTCAAGGCTCTGTGTTGAAGACCATACTGTGACCTATAATGGTTTACTTTTATAAATTTTGACTTGGATGGAGAGTTGTCTCATTGGCACTCATACCACATCTTCTTATATCTATAAATGAATTAAAATATATTTAATAGAGCTTTATTTTCATACCTATGGTTGGTGTCATCTCTTGTGTAATGCCTTCCACTGTTATATCTTGATCTGTAACTAAAAATTATGTTTCTATTTTTATATATAATTTTTTTACCATGGTAACTGTCTTTTTAGGAAGTATGAGTTATAAAAGATCAATAAATTTACAGTGTTTTTTTTAAATTAACTACTTTGATGTTGGATTTTTCTTTCTTTTTTTCCATTGATAAGAGTAAAAATCATTGTCAACAGTAATTCTGGACTAAGAATAGTTGAAAGGCTAAATAAAGTACAGAGTTGAACAGCATTGAGGATAATAAATAGACAGAAAATTTAAGACATAGAAAAAAGGTAACAATTTCATACCTGTAGTTTTACTTTTTGTTGTTAACTTTCTCCATGTTATGTCCTTAACTGTAAAATCAAAGCACTGTAAGCGCTGTAGGCAGTTAACCAAAAACCAAGGCAAACATAATTATGAAAACTGTGGCTATGTTGCTTCATTTTTTTTAAGATTTAAAAGAACAAACATTAAACATTCATATATTGTGCATTTATGTTCATTTAAAGAATTAATTATTAAGGCAAATAATTCATATTTTATCAAGGTTTTCAAAAGCAACGCATATATCAAGTATATTTTTAATGGTCATGTGTCTGCAGTGGTACAAGTTCGAAATGATTGCAGTTGTTCTAGTTGATAGTTAACGTTGGTATTAGTTGACTGTTAGTAGTTCAAGTTGACTTAGTACGAGCTTGTAATAGTATGCATGGACTTGCTTCCCTGGAAAGAAAACTGAGTTTGTGTTCTACAGTGCAAAAGTTATGAGACACAAATCAGACAAATGTTTACTACTACGGAGATCAAAGGTGAGGTCTGACTGACCTGCCCATAGTAAATGTAAATGACCCCCGCCTTCACCCCAAGTCCATGATGTCTAAGTTTGGAATAAAATGACAGGTGATTATAATAAAGTTGGTCAAACACTCTTGGTCTTGAAAGATATGTTTTCTTTAAAATGAGCCATATTAAAATGAAATTTTTTATAGAACCAGAGATTATTCAAAATATAATTAAGGTAAATTCTTTAAACCTACTCATTTTTTGCATCAATAAAATTTTATAATAAACAAGAAATAATTGTTTCAGAATGCTGTTACGAAGTCTCCCAAACAAAGCTTCCATAATTATTCATTCCCATGGTCGCCTGACATTGGGCAAAGTCTAGTACACATTGATTAGGTCTAGTAAAGTGATATGCATATGTGATGCCTATGAGATTGACCTTGTATGTCATTCAAATCTGTTTGAAATGACGAACAGGAATGAATATGGTTTAGGAGTTGGTATCTCAAACTTTTACAAGTTCTTAAAACACACACAAGAGGGGATGGGGTGACCTTAGGGACTAACCCTATATTTCATTTGATTTTTTATGTTGTCCCATACATGAATATATATGGTTTAGGGGTGGGGATCTCGACCGTTATCAAGTTTTCAAACAGGAGGGGGTGGGGTGACCCCAGTGACTTCCCCTATATTTCATTTGATTTGTTACATTGCCAAATACATGAGTATATATGGTTTAGGGGTGGGGATCTCATCTGTTTCCAAGTTATCAAACAGGAGGGGGTAGGGTGAACCTTAGGACTCTCCCTATATTTCATTTGATAAGTTCTGCTGTCCCATACATGAATATATATGGTTTAATTTAGAGGTCGGGATCTCGACTGTTTCCAAGTTCTCAAACAGGAGGGGTGGGGTGACTGCAGGGACTCCCCTATATTTCATTTGATTTGTTATATAGTCCCATACATGAGTATATATGGTTTCGGGGTGAGGATCTCGACCGTTTCCAAGTTCTCAAACAGGATGGTTTACAGTGACCATAGGAGCTGCCCCTATATTTCATTTGATTTGTTATATTGTCCCATACATGAATATATATGGTTTAGGGTGGGGATCTCGACCGTTTTCAAATTCTCAAACAGGAAGGGGTAGAAAGGCCCCAGGCACTCAACCTATATTTCATATGATTTGTTATATTGTCCCATACATGAATATATATGGTTAAGGGGTGGATCTCGACCGTTTCCAAGTTCTCAAACAGGAGGGGTGGGGTGACCCCCAAGGACTCCCCCTATATTTCATTTCATTTGTTATATTGTCACATACATGAATATGTATGGTTCATGGGATCATTATTTTTTTGTATGCTCCAATGTACAAATTATGTCTTTAAGAGAAAGATATATACCTACATATTACACACAAAATCCTTCCCAATTGAAACTTACTGGTCTATTATCACACTGTAACGTGCCACTGCTAACAAAAGTGTGCATGTTTCTAAGATATATTGAAAAAATATTTTCATAATACAAAGCATGTTACAATAACTTCATATCCACGTTGCAATTAAGAATTTTGCAATTAAGAATTTTGGGATCTCATCCGTTTCAAAGTTATCAAACAGGAGGGGGTAGAGTGACCCAAAGGATTCCACCTATATATCATATGATTTGCTTACATTCAGGTATCATATAATCTAGTTGCACTATTTGCGAAAACAAAGTAAGAAACTTCCAGCTATGTTAACTGGCCCTTCAAAATTGAGAAAAAAATTGCAGTAATATGTTTACACTTTAAAAGCATCTTACATGCATTATCAACATTTATCACTGATAAAGAAGATTTATACTGTCACCAGGAACATATATATTGTTAGATATACTGTTCCCAGCTGTCACATTGTATTGGATTTTGACATTAAAATTTGTCAAAAAGTAATTTTGAGTTTCTGTATCAAATATTTTTTGCTTTTTCTTTCTTTTACATATATCTTTTGGTTTCCATTTCTAGTGTTTATATTTATTTACCATGCATAGATGTATTTTGTCACCTGCCTGAAATTTTTTTTTGTAGTTGATCTCCAAAACCTGGAATTACCCTTATCCGCTTCCGGAATCGGACCCGATATTGTAATTGTCTACACGGCATCCATTGTTTTTCAATGTTGTTTTTGTCAGTCAGATACGATTTTACTCGAATTTACACATTACTTGTAGGCGATTATCTGTATAAAGCTAGCGGTTGAACAAAATGAACATCGCTGTCATGAATAATAAAGATGAAAATACGTTTTGAGATCGTTTATTTAGAGACTTTGGTAAAAAGGTTTGCAAAGTTATTTTTAATTTTCTTTCAAAGTTATTTTTAATTTTCTTTCAAGTGAAAGGTCCGTCGGGCGTAGCTAGTAACCAAGTCGAGAGTCCGATTGCAAAAGTGGAAGGTCGCGGACCTCGGACCACCGCTAATTTGAACCCCTGCCTCCAAATTGAAAAGATACGAAAATTTCGTATAATTTGAAATTGCCGCCAACAGCATGAACAGTGGAACTTATTAATAGACTACTGACGTAGTTGTAACACGTATTGACGACAAACAATATTCCTACGACTTTTGCCATTTGGGAAATCTAAACTACTTGTCTTTAAAGATTTTCGGCGATTAAATATTTCATACAATTGTTCTTTGACATCTTAGCCAAAAGCACAGGGGATAATAAACTACATAAGGATTCCTAATGTGCTCTACTTCCTATGTGCAACTTCAAAACTTTTGGGTGGTTCGACGATCATTTAAGGTTTTTTCTGGTCATATTTTTGTAATCCAGAATTAAAAGTATGAAAAAACTATCCAATTAGTTATAAATAACATTATATCCAGCTAGATAATAACAATGGCACGTATTTCATAATTTATTGGGTAGAACACAAATCTAGTGTGCTCGCATAAGGCAGCTTAACTGCCTAATAATATACAATATTTTAACAAACTTAGAAAGAATAATGATAATGACATATATAAGATTCTGTTCAGATTGAAATATTAAAGGACAACAAATAATGTTTGGCTATAGCTCTGTCTTTATCTATAGCAAGTTAGATCTATAACATTATTTTTTTTTTATAACTATTCTAATGTTGAATGTTTCTTTCAATGAAAAAGGAATATAAGATATATTGGCATAATCTAGTTTCATACCTGTTGTTGTTGTTTTACTGGTTTTGGCTGAATTCCTATTGTCTTTAGTCTGTATATCTTTAACTAAAAAGATAAATTATACCTTTACTAATAGTATAAATTTATCTACATGGAGTTAATAATATGACACCTAAGATTCCTCTTTTTGATTACTATTCTAATGCTATATATTTTTTCATTGAAAAGGAATAGAAGATATTTAAAAAATATTAAGACATATTTTCATACCTGTAGTTTGTGTTTTTATTATTTTAGTGGTTTTGGTTCTTTGTCTGTGGGTTGTCTGCTTTTGGTCTTTAACTGAAAAAAAATAAATATTTTTAACTGATAGTACAGATTGACCCTAACTAACTGTTGTTGTAATATCTGTTAAATAGTCATGATATTCAAATATCTTTGATCTTTTCTATTTAATTATTGATCATATATATATGTGTACAAAATTGAAAACATTATTACATACCTGTACTAGATGTTGTTGAGATAGAAGTTGACTGTTCTTTGTTCCATACTGTAAAAAAAACATAAAAGTATATTTTTTTCTCACAATAATTGAACATTAAATGTAAATTTTCATCACATGGTATAGATTAAAATTGTTAATAATGAATCTCATACTTAAATATAATACTACAGTTTACATTATTTTGTTGTTTGTCTGCTTTTATACTATGTAACCACATTTTGGTACAATGTAGTTTATCCTTTATTAACATGGTTAACCTGCATTTTTGTCATCAAACTTTTTTTTTTATTTCATTAATATATATATATGAAAATTATTTAAAGAAATTTCAACTTAAAGAATGTATACAAAATCTGTAGGATTTATATGGACTTTTAAAGGGTCGACCTTAAAAAGGGGCGATCTATTTTTTTCAAATGAACTCGACACTATACCATTTATTTTAAGACAGTCGTTGAAATCTTCTTACGATTTATAAATACATTTTCACATACAACGTAGTTATAAAAAAACTTACCACATGTAGTGTTTACAGACTTCCAAGTGCATTCTCTGTCGTAAATGTTCGTGATTGTTGGTTTGGAACACGTGTGGCAAAGTTGAAATGTGCAATCGCACCCATCGCTCCCTTCTATTATCACAAATTGTACCTCCTGAGTTAACTTTGTTTCATTTGTGCAAGGGCAATACCCTATTGCAAGATCATACCTGCATCCTTCCTCCTGTGTTCTTACAGGTCCAATAAAACTTAGGAATAAACATGTGAATATAATTAAGGCTGCCTTCTTGTCTTCTTCATTTGAATAAAGAGACCAGTCGTGACGTGTAAATTGAATTTCGATATTAATAAAATAGTTAATAGTTTTTTAATTAGTATTATATTTAATTTTGTAAAATATATGTAATGTATCTTTTATGTATGATAAAGATTAATGTGATTGAATTCATATTTTACTTATTAAAAATGAATATTATCATATTTATGGTTAACGTAACACACTGGTTCTCCGGTAAAGCGCCCAACGTCAGAGTAAAAAATGATAAAATATAAATTGCAGCAAAACCTGTAAATAAAGAACATGGAACATCCTCATAGTATATTCTATCCAACATATAAATTTCAGCATGTAATATGCTACCGTTAATTTTTAATGATCGAGACAGTTTAGATGAAAAAATGTCAAAAAAATACATTTAACGTCATTTTATTTCCTTTGACGTCGTTATCTGATAGCGTGATTTTCAAAACCAAAAATGTTAAAAACTTTGAAATCATTATTTTTACGGTGTTTTGTTATCTTTATTAATTCTCAAAAACTTTAATGTGCGTTTTTCTTTTGAGTTGAAATTAACACGAATTAATGTGATACATCTTCCTGTGGACTGTTTCCTTGTGAACTAGTACGCCAAAAAAATCCACTCAGCGTGTTGGTCTTGTACAAAACGGAATAAATATTAATATCGTATTAACATGCTTTCGACCCGAATATGCATATAAATCGCCGCTGAATGCCCCTCCTCCTCCTCCTCCTCCACCTCTCCATCATCATCATCATCTAGTTTGCCAATCTGTGTTACCATTTACCATGAATTATCATTGATGTGGTCATATTTATAAATATTTTCAAAATGCACAAGAATGGCGTATAATGCATTTACCCTTGCTTTGAATAGTTTGAATAACTAAGAATTTTCTTTTGTAGACGAAACACAACCCTTGAATCTTTGATAGGTTACTTCCTTTGATATTCAATAATACTTTTTTCCTTGGTATCGGAAATTTGAAATGTTAATATAGGAGAGTGACGATACGTGTTTATATCAGATCAAAGGATTAAATGAATCACTTTTTTTGATAATGTTTAAAGTTATTATAATACTGCAATTTTAGAGGAGAAATGATTGATTGATTGTTGTTTTCTGAACGTACAGTGGCAAATATTTCATGCAGAATTATGACCGAGAGAAGAATTTTGAAACAATAAATAAGATGTTGCATGCGTTGTCGTTAAAAAAGAATTTAAAAAAACCTCAACTCCAATAAAAATAAACAAAACTATTTATTTATTTGAAATAACCCAAGATATATGAGATGGTTTATAGAATAGAAAATAATGCCGCCCCCCCCCCCCTAAAAAATAAAAAATGAAGAAAAATAGGCAATCAAATAAAGAATAGAAAATAATGGGGTGTGAAAAAAATAATTGTATAAACATTAAGAATAAGGTAAAAAAAATACTGATTTCAGAAATAAATAATTTACTGAATAATGAAACTTTGCGTTTTCTGCATATCAAATTTATTATTGATAATTGACAATAGACAAGTAGATCATTTGGAATGAAATATTGAACTGGTCCTAATCGGAACTGGTTTATTGAAATTAGCGATGCAAATTATATACATTCATAAGCATCGGTATTTTTCTCCAAAATCAAGATCTTGCACGAGTTAACGTATCATTTCGTTCCGAAGCGCTATTTTGGATTTATCTTCATCATTTACGCCCAGCGCCGAATATTTGAAAGCCAAGGATGTAAAAGAACAGAAAGAGTTGATGAGCTATATGACCAAAAGGACATAAAAAAAAATAGCCAAATCAGTCGAAGATTAACTTTGCCCGATGGAGTTGAAACCTTAATTAGTTTCTTTATAATTTCAAAATTTATCAATAGATAATTAAAGGGAATTGAATGGAATTGCAGAATCAAAACGGTTCTTTCGTCGACATAATTCCTACATCTTCAGTTTCATAATTGTAAGATCCATAACTCATTATAATTAAAAAAAAAACAACAATTTATTGGTAAGGGCTGGTAGACTGATGCTTGAGGACGGATGACATTGTCATAGATTTTTTGGGGGTATTTTTAGTACCAATAAATGTTCAATATATTTTAATATTCTCCAAAACAATTGATTAATAGGCAATGTTTTAATATTTTGTTGGACAGTTGGGCAATCAAGGATAAAATCTAGTTCTAGTGATCGAATTTTTACTCCATCGGATTTCAGATTTCTCTTAATGTCGGTTAACTACCGGTACTGTCTCTGTTATAAAACTGAATGTTCAGCTTCACAGTGCTAGTACCTCATATGACAAACCAAATATGATCAAATATACCTCATGTCATCTTAACTTCTGTTTATTATCCCAGATATCCAAATTATCACGAAGAAATTAAAATGGTCATTTTCTCCCCCGTTTGGTTTTAATCAGATATTCAGATATTAATCAAAATTGGTAGATGGTATCATTTGTGCAGTACAGTGACATATTAAAAAAAAGGGGGTCGTCATACGTATGTCGTTGATACAGACAAGAAGATTTATCATGTCAATATTATGATACAACAGGAAATTTTCATATGCAGGATCTGAACACAAGAATTTTACAGAATAATCATATTTCTTACTGAATAGAGAAAAATGGCCTAAAGAATTACAGAATACAGAAATGTAGACCCCCCTCCCCTAATCCAGACCGTCATATATATTATATTGTGACGGATAGTTTTGTTGATCTATTTAACTGTTTTAATTTTCGAAAAAATATTTGTACAAGGTGTTAATAAATGTAACGGACAATATATACCATGCCCTCTCAGCCGACGTCAATGAAAGAAAGTATTTAAAAGCTTGTTTCCCTGTGCAACATGATATAAAACTCATTAGGCAGAGCAATTTTAATGGCTAGTTGCATAATTGTTAAATCGTATTAAATTCGGTATCAAATTTATATTAATAATAAACGTTACATATCTTGAATATTGAAAACAGGTTAAAATTATTTACTTGCATTAATATTGATATTTATCATAATTTATATTTAGTAGTAAATACAGAAGTTTTGAATATTTGATAAATAGCCTGCTGTTTAATCCGTATTGCTCAACTTTGATGCGCACCCATTATCACACCCCTTTATCGCACCCCTATTCGGATTTCTCATTTATGACAGTAGTGATTCCGACGAAATTTACATGAAGTCCGATGTTTGTTAAACTAGATTTTTATATTTCAAAAGTGCACATTTTACTCACCAGTCTCAAAGTAGTCTCTTGTTTATTACAGTATACTTGTTATTAAATTGTTGGTTTATTGTTGCTATTTTTTTATTAACAGGTTTTATTCAGAATGTGTTTCATATAGTACAACATTACTAAAGGAGGATAAAAAGAACTGAATGAACTTCCATACAAAACACAAACATACAAAAAATACAATAAGCAAAATATTTCTACAACAGGACCTAAATTGTAAGGTAACCCAATAAGCAGTTCCTATATATGATACAATTTTTAAAACATGGCAAAAATAAATAAATCTGAAGGTAACCCAGGTGCTTTAGATCAGTAAGCAGTTCCTATATACTCTCCTGTTTAAATCTGTGATAAAGCGTATACATGGCAAAATCCGTATCACATGCCGTATCATCCCTCCGGCTGATATTGGTATCTCGGGATGATACGGCATGAGTTACGGATTTTGTCATGTATTATTCTCTATAAAAACATCCGGTTCGGTTTTTTTCTAGGTCTGAGAAAAAAGCAACTGTGTAACACTTAAACAATTGATTAATAAAAATTGTCACATGGTGTCTTCTTATGTCAATAATTACAATGTATGTTATTGATCTGTAAGTTATATATTCGCCATCCGTAAAAATTATCTAATATGTTTATTTGGCATGCCATACTCGATAGAAGTGCGGACGTGATAGAAAGCACTCTTTACCAAAACGTCAACGGAGATTACATTCCACGGAGGTTACATTTCGATGATTTTGTCATTTATAAAACATAATACGTGTATCTGAAGATAGAAATAGTACTAAAATTAAATGTTGACACCGATATCGATCTGTTGGATGTAAAATTTATTTTCAAAATAGGTGTTTGTTCAGAATAGACCATTCCACGGAGATTACATGCTTAACAAATCTCTGCAGTTTTCAACTTTGTTTAGTTTTTCAGACTGATATGATTTGGAATAAATGACCGTAGTTATAAACAAAATTATTTATGGTAACCTTA